AGTGTGTGGCAACAATTTTTGTACCAACTCAGGAATGTGAAAATCAAAAGAAGAAGAAATCAGAAAACAGTCGAATCTAGAAACTGCACCATGATAAGAAAGCAGTATGATAAGCCATCTTATTGAATGCAGGGACCGCCATTGCAAAAGTATGGTCCTCCTAAAGCTAGTCAACTTGGGGATATGCCTTATCAAGGACCTGTTCCATCAAGTCAATCATATGGCCCAAATGTCTCTTTTCCTCCTCTTACAACCAACCCTTCCAACCAGCCTCTAATCCTTGACTCTGAAAATCATTTTGTTTAGGGACAATGATGAAAAGACAATAAGCCCACATTGGACTCCTTCAGACTGCAAAAGGTTTCTTTTTAAACAAAAAAAAAAGAATATAATCATATTAGACAAACCAAGCAGGTACCACCCGTATAGAAAACAAATGAATAAATTGATCAAAAGTTAATTGTAAATCAAAGAATTGCAATGCTATATGATAGGAAAGCACTCCAGTGAACTTTCAGGGAATAAGTTATAGCTCATTGTCATGGGGTTTTTATAGTCAGACTTGGAATCGGATTATCTGATTTATATTTTCTTATTTACATTTCAGCAAGAAGAATCTGAGGTTGGTGTACTTGGAGGAAATGGTCAGCTATTGACCCTTGGGTTGGGTCTGTTGTTCACAGCATTAGCTGCAGCGTATGTGACACGGCTTGCGAAGGTAATGCCAAATTGGTCGAGCATTGAGATCTATTTGTTGTTGTTTCATTTGCAAGGTTTGTATCACATTCTGCTGAATTATGTTGTGTTATCCATAGCACTCTCATTCCAGGGGTGTTGTTAGGTCCCTAAAGTGGATGTATTTGTGGATTTGTTGTGGAAGAGGGTAAGGGCTTAAGAGAGAATCCTTAAATCTCTTAACAATAAGGGCTCGTCTAGGCTGGGAAAAAAAGAATCCTTCTATTTCTGAGTTTAGAAAAGAAGCTCAACACTTTTCAACACTAAAGCTGCCTAGCTTTATTCAGTTCAACATTTGAATTTATACAAGAAAAAAGCTGAAGTAGATAATCTCCTTTGCTGGAAGAAACTGACACCCAGATCCAACGCTAAGAAACAAAAAATTTTAAAGTAGCAAATTAGCTCCTACATCTGTAAGAAAAACAAAATCTGTTTAGTGAATGAATTGGAATTATCTAGCCTAATCCTTCAATCTTCTTTCCTCTTCTTCCCATGTGTAAACAGTTTTTATACCAGTCAACAGTGTGGGGATATTTGCTGTGAGTATATACAATCTGTTGCTGTGGTAGACAGTCCATGACACGTGAAATGAATATTTACTTGACCATCTGTCCGTGTTCTTCTAGAAACCATAAGCAACCACATTTTAACTTTGAGCTTTATTTGTCTATGTTTCATTTTCAAGTTTCAAATCAAATTCAAAGTTTGGAGCGAATTATGTTCTGTTATTATGGCACTGCCATTATAGGGCATTATCAATTTACTTGAAAGAATGCAGGAAATTTTATAAGGTTATCTAGTCTTCACAGCAGTAAGTGGGAAAGAAATAGATGAAATAGAAATGAACACCAAGGGAGACTAATATTTCCTTTTGAGGACCAAAAGACTTTAAAACTCCTCTCACCTACCGTACCTCTCTGTCAAACGAAACCTCACTGTTATTAAAATTGGATGGACCAGTTAAACTTGTAACTTATTGACTTTAATGGATGGGTTACTGCCGTCATGTTTTAATGTATATATACGTATTTCCTTTCTTGGAGATTTCTTGTACCTGTGTTGCTAAGTTGGTGGGTTATAATGCAGGATGCTGTGAAGGATATTGAGTAGATACTAAGCACTTATAACTGTAAATGGAAGGGGAAAGGTTTCGGGCAACATGTTCTAGACTGCAAAGTGGATAGCAATATAATTTAAATTGCAAAGTCTACGGATGCCTAATGTGTGGGTAATTTGGAATGTGTATAATTCAACACTCCCAGAAATGGGAAAATTTTGATGTATTCTTTTGTTATGCAAGGGAGGTGCCACATAATTGTTAGTTAATTCTAACTGAACAGTTCTAATCTTTACTCAATGCCTCCTATTAGATGGCAAAATGGTTTATATAGAGTTTAGATCTGTCTGACTTTTTGCCTTCTGAGATTGATTTAATTTTCAGCAAATAATTTGTTTTGTTGAAGGTAATATGACAGTTAAAAATGATATTTAAAAATTTTAGAACTATGAGCTATCATCAATGATGTCATATTTTTTCTTCCAATTTTAATGTTAAAGTCTTCCTAGGGGGCACCATGCAGCTCTTTAAAAGTTATGAGACTCATTAAAAGAAAATCACTACAAACTGACTCAATTAAACATTTTAAGGTAGAATCCATGTTTTAGTAAATTGTTTTCCTTCAACTTCTAAAATAAACACTTTCAGTGTAAAAATGTGTAACTCACCAGAGCAAACTTATAGAATACAGCCAAATAGTAATATAGCTAAATAATAACAAAATATCGAAAATTCAAAATAACTGGAGATAAATATCAGAAATATAGAATATTTTCGTGGCCCATAATCATACTTATCATGAAGAAAGAAATAGGTTAAGTGGAACCTGCGGATGTCTCCAGACTTTTTTTGTCCATGACCTTGGATCTTTCCAACACATGGCAGACGGTACCCAATTTCCAAACCAGAACCAGATATCCATTTACCAGCACGCATCTAAACCTTAATTTTCTGCGATTTAAGTATTCAATCGGGTGTTTCAAATCACAGAAACAAAACAATCCCTGGCACTGTTGTTTCCTAACTTCAAACCTCAGTATTTAGCTCACTCATATACAGGGCCCAAATATACACAACTTTTTCATGTGCCCGTTAGCACAAACAAGAACATCCAAAATAAATCAGGCTCCTGCATTTACTAATTAGTAGCATTCAATAGAAACAGAACATTTGTAAGGTAACCATAGAATAGAAGATCTGTCAACAGTAAGCTATCTGGACCTAAAAAGCTGAAGCTAATACAACAATACACTAGCTTAAAGGCAGTCCAAATTTACCTACTAACTAGAGCAAAATTTTCAGCGAGGGGCGGCTGCGTAAATCTGGCTTGAATCATACTGAGCATAGCCGGGTTGGGGGGACAAATTTTTGCCATAACTTGCTGGTGCACTGCCAGGAGTACCTCCATAACCTGATTGCTGTGCAGACTGATCATAGCTCGGTTGAGCTGGAGTTGCTTGGGCATAGCCTTGTTGTTGCCCACTAGCTGGTGCACTATAGGCTGCAACAGTGCCACTGCCATAATTAGGATCTTGAGTACCTTGGTAGGCATAACTTCCACTATTTTGAGCTGCTGCCTGCTCAGGGTAACCTTGTTGAGATGGGTAGGAAACATATCCACCAGTAGGACCTACTTGTCCATAACCTGCCTGCTGTCCACCAGCCTGGCCGTAACTAGGAACATGCTGGCTACCTTGCTGGGGATAACCTTGACCAGTTGCAGGTGGTGGCTGACTGTAGCCATCAGACTGTGGTACAGAGCCATATGGATAAGTTGGCTGCATAGGTCCACCAGATGCATATGGGTATTGCTGTTGAGGGGCGACATTTGGGCCATATGATTGACTTGATGGAACAGGTCCTTGATAAGGAATATCCCCAGGTTGACTAGCTCTAGGAGGGCCATAATTTTGCACCGGCGGTCCCTGCATTCCATAAGTTGGCTTACCATACTGCTGTTGTGGGGGGTATCCTGGATGACCACCAGCCTGGGGGTATTGCTGAGAACCTCCATGTCCTCCATAAGGTTGCTGCACTGCACCATGATTTTCATATTTAGGCTCTTCATACATATGTCCATAGTTCTGCTGAGGAGCTGTCTGGGCATAAGGACCAGGATGCCCATATTCCTGACCTTGTGGTTGCCCATAATTGTAATTAGCCTGGTGATGGGGTGGAACCATTGCTGGGGAAGGTAATGGCCCTGAAATGGAAGTAGAAAGTGGAGCAGATACTGCATGACCTCCTTGCCCTCCATAATAATCATAACCAGCACTATGTGGAGGGGGCCCTTGCATGCTTGGATGTGGCCTTTGCTCCCAACCAGAACCAAAGCTACTTCTTGGAGGCATCTGCTGCGGATAGCTCCCATAACCAGGATGTTGATAGTTTGGCATTTGAGATGGATAAGGCCCTCGTTGTTGGTAATCATATCCCATTGACTGCGATGGATGAGGACCCCTTGGACCCCACTGAGGTGGGCCCGTGGGTCCACGTGGTCGGTAAGCCTGCTGCTTAACATTGCTGGAAAGAGATGGCCTTACGGTCTATTCATCATAAATTAGGAAAAAAAAAACAAATTAGCATAGAAGTAATTTCATTCACACATGACGAAGATAAAAGTATTAACTAGACATAAATGACCAGTTTGCTAGCACTGAGGTGAACATGCCTTCAAAAAAATAACCTGATCAGAGATATCATCTCATTTGAAAATGACAAAAGGCAGAAAAACACATTTAACACCTCATCCCCAAAATAATAACAAGACATCTTAGCTAAATTTTAGTATTTGAAATCATCATATCTACCAACTATTCACGAGTTAGTAACTTACTCCATAACCTGGCAGACCATTCACACAATTCTAAGAAACCTAAAAAAACGTGTAAGCTAAAACCATGACAAGCAAGCAATAAGCATGTCCAACGCTAGCCATGGATATATTATCAATTGTCACAACAAGCATGATAGAAGGCAAGGCATCATTAGAGAGTAGGAGTAAAGGAAGTATTCTGAACAATGCATAAGGCCATTAGAACAATGTGATAACAATTAATCACTTCAACATACACAATTTAAAAGGCTAATCGTAAGACCTCCGCTCAATCTTAATCCAACTTTCAGATCGATGATCATGGTTAAAAAGAGATGTTAGAAATTATGATGGAGACAATGTTTTCAAGCAAGATTCTGTACTGACCGTAATCTAACATCAACAAGGATAAAAGGACAAAAGGAAACCAAGACCAACAGAATAAATCTTTAATAAGGCAGAAAAGAGAGAAAGAAAAACTATCACATGGAGGTGTTGCAACTCCACTTTAGAACATACACAGATGCCAACTGTTCCGATCATCTTCATTACAACTAAACTCCAGTCATCCACATAGTAAGACAAACTAATTCTGCTCAATCTTTACAAAATTGTAGTGGAATTTGTAATGGCACCTTTTAATGCATATCAAGGGATACGTACCACAATCTTCAAATGTTCAAAACAAACTTGATAAGAGTATGTTGATCCCACATATATTCCAAACACGGAAGACTTATTCACCAGACATGATACTAATACTTTTGTCCGAGAATGTCTCATATAATATATCCGTACTACATTATGATTTTTTTCAACTTTCAAGTCTCAAAGCAATCTTACCCACTATTAACATCCTGCAATTGCGAGAATTAATGTCTGATACCTCTCTTCGGTGATGAGAATGAATAGTAGTTGTCTATTGCTACACCAACAAAGCAATGCTGGACCCATGGGAAGGTAATAGCCAAATCTGCATTTTTAAAGCCAACACCAATTCGAAATTGGCACCTTCAACATAAATAAATCATGGCAACCGACATCGTGGATTGAATATATGACCTTCCTAACAACATTCAAGAACCTTGGCATTGATCATTCATTGATATCTTGTACTCTATACATGTTTCAATTAAGCTCTCGCTCCCATGTTTAAACTATGAGAAGACTCTTCCTCCAATACAAAAAAAAATTGTTATACTTAAATGCAATGTTTCGATGGATATTCAAATTAAGACTACAGTTTTACATCGTTTGGCAGCTTGAGGATGCAATAGGCTTCCAAGTTCTGTACTAATCAAAAGAAAACATAAATTTTTAACTTTGGCCCAAAATTTCTAGAACAGTTATATAGAGAATAAGTACAAAATATTTTCTAAAGAATTGAAGGAAAAGGGGAAGCAAAGAATTAACAGAATGTAATTCTAGATGCATTTTTCCCCTAGGAAACCAAAACTGGACAGCTTGTGCATAGACATTAGAAGCCGGTACAGACATACATCTCATCAACAAAAAATTCATCCCTTCAAAAACTACCTAGCTACCATGATGGAAAATGCATCACAAATCTTTT